TCTATTCATTTGGTTTTATATTTGTTTTTCGCATTGGTATCCCTACAAAGAAAGTTAGTAGCAAACCACGTATAAATTTTAAGTCACACACATCACTATGCACTAAATCCAACGGTTCTGAACTTCTTTCAATAGAATGAAACGAAGATCTTGTCAACATCGCTTCAACACAAGTTTCACACTTATGTTTCGAATTAATCTTAAAAGATGGTATGTGATCTAACTTGATTAATCTACGTAAAGATTCAAAGTTCACATGTCCTAGTCTACCATGCCACAAATTGGAAGACTCAAGCATGTAAACAGAAGAAGATGCACCTTTATTCATCTTTGGGATAACAGTCATAACATTGAGTTTAAACATACCCCCCAACATATAACCCTTACCCACATACATTCTGCTTTTGGTAAAAATGACCTTGTCGGACTTAAAAACCCTACGAAAACCATGTTTACTAAGAAGAGACCCTGAGACAAGATTTTTACGAATGTTCGGAACATACATGACTTCGTTCAAGGTCAGGTCCTTTCTTGATGTCAACTTCAAGACCACCTTTCCTTTCCCCTCAACAATCGAGGTAGCAGAGTTTCCCATAAACAACTTCTCACCGTTTGTAACCGGTTCGAAAGTTGTAAACAGTTTCTGTTCGGAGCAGATGGGCGTGTAGCCCTAGTATCAATCCACCATTCTCTTGGGTTTGAACCCACCAGATTCACCTCAGAGACAACGACAGACAAGTGCATATCATCCTCCTCATGGGAGTAAGTCTGCCATATGAGCACGAGGTTTGGTCTTGTATGGCTTCTTCTGCTTGCGGCAGTCACTAGCCCGATGCCCCTCATTACCACAGTTGTAACACTTCCCAAAGAACCGATAACCAGGTTCTTGCGGCTTGTAAGCCGACTTCTTTGCAACACCACCCCTTGGCCCCAGCTTAGAGCTCTTGTTCACAGGGGGCTTCTTCCTTATCCCAGAAGATTTGCCATGCTCAACAACATTGGCCTTTACTGAGGAGGTACTCCCTCATTTCTTTCTATTATCCTCTTCAATCCGGAGTCGGACAACCAGCTCTTCAACATACATTTCCTTACACTTGTGCTTCAAGTAATTCTTGAAATTCCTCCAACCATTGGGAAGTTTCTCAATGATCACAGCAACTTGGAATGACTCGTTCAAAGGCATCCCCTCAGCATGAATTTCATGCAAGATCACTTGGAACTCCTGGACTTGGCTTATACAGTTTTAGAATCTACCATTTTAAAATCAAGGAAACGGCCAACCACAAATTTCTTTGCCCCGGCATCCTCAGTCCTATACTTTTTGTCCAGAGATTCCCATAATTATTTTGCTGAGCTCTTGGAACAAAACACACTATAGAGTGAGTTTGCCAAGCTGTTGAACACATAGTTCCGGCAAAGATAGTCTGTCTGCTTCCATGTGTCAAGCGCCATGACTTTATGCCTGTCAGGCTCATTCTCTACCACGGCTGGAGGATCCTCACTCAGAACCTTGGCAAGGTTTAGCGTGGTCAAGTAAAACAGCATCTTTTGCTGCCATCTCTTAAAGTTTTCCCCAGCAAATTTTTCTAGGCGCTCATGGTGACTAAGCGGTCCTCCCGGAACAGCCGGAGTAACACCAGGGTCGACCACAGAGGTCACAGCAGTAGGGGTTGGCAATCCAGTTGCCCTAGGGTTCAAATCCCCACTAACATTAGCAGTAGCAGCAGCATCAGTGATAGTTTCCATTTCTGAAAATTACACCAGAATATCACTTCTGTGTTTCCAGAAATTAAACTTAACCCTTAGAAAATCCCTTAGAAGAAAAATTAATTCAAAAATTAGTCTCACCTCAAAACCTAGAATCGAACATGGTCAAGAAAGTTCCCAAGAAGACTGGAGGGGTCACATCGGTCCCACTTAAAACCCAGTTAACCTTAGACAAAAACTTTTTAGAGCATGTTGACTCCTAGTCCGTGATAAAAACATTTAAGATTTAAATTTTCTTAGGGATGAACTAGGTTAAAACAAACCAAGGTCCAAAATTTTTACAAGCAATGTAAAATAATTGCTACAACAATATAAGCAAATAAAACTTGCTACTACAAATTGAATTATTGATCTAAACCGTTCAATAAGTATTCCTCATCGAATACTTTATTCATGTAAAAAATTATGTTAATCAAATATCGATAGATACTTAATCAAATCAAATTTGTGTCAACAGTAATTATGATTTTAAAAATAAATTGTTAATACATATGTAATATGATCAAATATTTATTAATATCTGATCAATATAATATTTTATAAAAATAAAATATTTGATAAATGTTATACATTAAACAATTTAAATTATTGATATATATTTCATAAGGAGCCCACAAAAATTTAACAATATACTCTAATTGAAAAACTCAACTTGAGGAGAAGCCTCAGCCTTTATGAATAGACTCATTTCGTCTGTATCAATATCAATATTTTATTATGTATTGTACATTTAGGACCCATGATAAGGGTTATTTTCATTCTAATATCAATATCAACATTTTATTATATATTACATATCACATCAATTCATTAATAATAATAAGGAGGAAGAAAAAAAAAAAACTGTGTATATTACATTTTTATTAAAATAAAATGACCTTTCATTTTTAGCTAATGGCATTTCTTGTTTGCATCACTTTGTTGGACAGCTAAGAGCATCGTTAATGGTGTATAATTTTTTCATTAAATTTAAATAAAAATTTAAGTAAAAGTTTCTTTTGATATTAAGTATTCAAACGGAGGATTTTAGAGTTTCATCAAATCACTAGACAACCAGGCGGACGATCGACTAGTGTAATTTTTGTTGTTCAAAATTGTGAAATTAAATAAATAGATTTATGAAGAAAACAAATTATATACCAAGAACATATGCTGATAATTACAACTAAATTTCAACAGAAATACACAAAAAATAATAAAGGGTAAAGAGACAAAACCGAAGCCTCCACGGAAGTAGTTTCCTTAAAACAGATTTCGCCGCCACACGAGTCGAGTGCTTGAGGAAACCCGGCGTCTGTCTCCCAGGATACGACGGTCAAAACCAGTTACGGCAGAAGCACTATCTGTCTAGCTTAGCGAACAAAACAATGGCAGCACTCTCTCACAATAGGAACTATCAAGCAAACTGACTTGTAAAATGGAAGCAAAAATTTCAATATTGAAACTTGACAGGAGGGTCTCAATTTATACATGTACAGGGGAGAGAGGAAAAGCCTTCAGCCTTTAAGGCTAGTCATTAAAACACCAAGCATCCATAGCCCCTTTCCACAAAATCAAAAGTATGAATGCCCAAAGGATTCACACCCTTTAGCCAAGAAAAAAGATTTAAATACTCTTTAAAATCCTATTCATGAATCTAACATCATGAAGCAATTTCTTGGCAATTTCTTATTCAAAACCCAATGATTTTTGGCTCACTTGGACTCAACACAAAAAATGGTTAGGACCCACTTTAATATTTAATTAAAGTCACCACACTTTAATATGAAATTAAAGTCCCCAAAAATCATTTTTTCCAACACTGCTTTCTGCCTCTAAACCTCCCTCAAAGATTTACAACATTTATATCTCCCTTCAAACCCTAACCAATCCCTCATTGATTAAGTTGATCCAAGGGTTCAAAACCCATCTATGATAGCCCAAAACATGCTCACCATCCATTCAAATTTTCAAATTATTACTTGTAGAAAGTACATACAATATAAATAAAAAAAAAATAAAAAAATAAAAATCATGCAAAATTGCCAAATGGTGCAAGCCTCAAAGGGTTGTAGAATGGTTGTAAAACTTGCATGATCCAAATGAAGAAAGTCACATAAGTTACAATGGAAAAAATGTGGCCGGTTATAGCAGAGGTGGGGATTTTCTGCCTTGATCTATGTTATCCTCATAATCAATCTTTGAATAACTTATTTTCTCCAAGAATTTAAAATTTTAGGGGCCTAAACACATAATTAATTATTCAAATTTTTGAAATATATTAAATAATCGAACACAATATTTTAACACAAAATATTATCTATTAGGTATGGAGAGTCCATTTCTCCAGAGTCCATTTCTCCAGTCTCGAACCGGAATGAAATGTTGTTCACGAGTATTGATGAAATAATTTATTTAGGACATCAAATAACTAGGGTTCTTATTATAAATAGCAACACGCATCCAGGTTCCAAATTTATTAAATAAAAGTTTAAATTGGTCCAGTCTTTCTGAAACTCTTTCTAGTCATCCTTGACGTGCTGTTTTGCGAGGACAGCTGCTTTGATGAGGTTGAGGGACTCTTCAAGATCATCACATATTTGGTGAGGATCAGGAATGGTTTCTTCTTCTGCTGATATTATGAAGATCAATTTGTTGACATAACTTACGGCATGAATCATCAACGCCTGCAACAGATGTAATTGTCAGCTTAATTAATCCAAACACCCATTACTATATTACAGTAATTGTCTCTTAAATTTGCAATTTATTATATTTTCACTTTAATTCTCAAAGCATGTGATCCATTATATTTGACTTTCGTCAACTTCATTCAAAATAAATAAGGGGAGGGTTATTTTTGTAATTTTATCTTTAATATTTTAATTTTGTTGTATTTTTTTTTTATAACATTTTTGAAAAGTCACCATCTCGTGTTATTTTTGAACCGCTATGAAACCAGGAACTAAACTGTAACAAATTGCATTTTTGTAGAGCAAAGTAGAAAATTTAAGAAATTGGAGACTAAAGAATAACAGATCGTATATTTTAGAAGTCAATATTATAATTTATAACTAAGGCATATATATACCAAGTACCATTTCAATCATATTTACTAAATTTATGTCAATTTAGTTTTATTTCAAACTAATTTTGTTTCAAGGGGAGATACTTACGTTGGGTTGGCCATAACAAGTTGGAGCATAATAGGAAATTTCATGGCCACAAAATGCAATTTCATCTCCAGTTCCAGGTACATTGGAGAACCATAGTGTCGTATTTGAGAAAACTTTGTAGTTAAGATATCCTGCAACCTATTCATGATTAAACAAAAAACAGATACAAATTAGTAATTTATAATAATCACTCACACAAGGTTTTCTATATATCGCCAATTAATTTTTGTTAGTTTTCACCTCTTATGCGAATATATAATATATGCCATAGATAAAATGTAGGACCATCACACTGAGGTGGGGCTTAGCAATTAAGTTTTTTATTTTATTTTATTTATTTATTTATTTATTTTTCTTTTTAATCTAAGAAAGGTTTGATAAATGCTAAAAATTTAGATTTTTGATAGTGAAAAAGTTGACTTGATCCTTCATTATTATGATTTTTTTGTCTATTGTTAGGTTTTTTAGCCGAATAAAAGGACTTTTTGTGCCAAACAGGAAAATTTAGGTTGTCCCCATTCTTTTTCGAGTCCTACGTTACGTGTGGGACATTTATTGTGTGGATATGCTTAGAGAAGACAAAAATTAGTGATATTCCTGAAGTGAAAAATATAATTTTTTTGGGATATATTTGTATTTTATTTTTCATTTTAACTAAAATAGAATTTTATTTTGGCAAATTATAGTGACCTCAAGTCCCATTATTTTTACCATGGCGGATTCTTCATCTACAAAATTTTTATTACACAAATATACATGAGAATTGAAATAAAGTAGTGAAATAAATCCGGTTATAAATTGAGAGGGTAATTTTTGGAAAAAATTGGGCCGAGCTGGGAGTTGGGCTTTGAGGCCCAAAGTGCGAAGGACTAAGTAAAAAGGCCGTAATGGTTACTCCGGCCCAGGAGAGCAAGGTTACTCCGGCCTAGGAGATTTATGACAAATAGGTGATGAATATGATAAGTTGTCAATTTTATTTTATTTTTTATAAAATGTTTTTTTTTTTAATAACATCATTGTCAAAAATTTATGAAGTTGTCACTGGCAATGATAAAATACATATTTAGGTATATAAGAGATGATAACATTATTTTCTATCAATATGACTAACAGATAACTAATAGTAAGAGGACAAAAGAGTATGTGAATTTAACCTCAAAAGAGCACAGGACATTTATGTTAAATTTTTAGAACTTGTATTTTTTATGAGATATATTGGAGTGATAATTTACACAATATTTTTTCTTTAAAAAGTTTTTTTTTTTTTTTTTTTTTTGAAAAGTAAAGGGAAAGACTGAACTAAGGATAGTTCGGCTTACTTTGTGGCTCAGCATAGCCAGTTTTACTTCGGTCAAATGGTAGTTCGGCCATGGAGAAAACCATCCCACTTGGTTTAAGCATGGGGGGTGTAAAAGGATAAGCATTATCCTTTAGGAATATGAATCCTATGAGGACTCTGCATGGAGAAATAAAAGTCCTACTAGGATTATACCACTCGAAACCTATAAAAGCTCACAAGCATCACCTTGGAGGAGCTAATTGAACACAATTTTCTGAGAACTTAGAGCTTTGTCTATTTGTCAAGTTTTCTGACTTAGGCATCGGAGAGGTTTCCGGCACACACCCGCCGGCTAGCTCACGTTTGTGTTTTCAGGTGACAAAGCGACGTCGTACGGAGGAGCGTGGACTTGGTCAACAGGATTATACGAGGAGAATTATTTCCTCCCCGTACAAATCTCCATATGGGAGTTCTTCTTAGTGGGGAGAATTAATGAAGATCAATAAGGCAACAATAATTGGGAGTTTGAGTTATTTAGGAGTTTAAATCTGTTCATGAGTTATTTTGAGTATATCTATTTATTTTTAGTCATTAGCCTTATATATACATAGTGTTGGTGTATGAATTTTATTAGATTGTGGCATAATTGAAGCTTAAAGCTTAAATGAAACCTAATTTTATGTTGCTGCCAAGAGAATCGCATTTGTCAGAGCGAGTTTGTAAACCAAGGAAAACCAAGAATTATTTTTTGATGATTGCAGTTGGCATTGTGATTATATATCTGTCATGCTAGATGTTAATGGACTATTTCATTCTTTAAGTTCTTTAAGTATAAGATTCAATTACGGACAGATGAGCCATCAGTGGTGGCTCCAGAAAATTTGGTTAGGGTATTCAAAAACTTGAACTTAAATTAGAATTTGTATAAAAAGAATACACTTATCAATGGTTATTTCCCACTACTAATAAATCTTCCAATTTGAACTTCTCAAATCACAAGCAAAATACTATTGAATAAATTATTTTCAATGTAAGTAACTAAACAATCATTTTTTCATTAATATCCCATTTCGTTACGCAATCAATTCTTTACAAATTTTATGTCCTAATTTGACATAAGCTACATTTACTAAGAGAGCTATTTGTTTGGTACCTTTATTTTATTTGAAAAATAAATAGGAACACAGATATCAAACATAGAACTGAACACAAAATGTATGAATGGATGAGATTTTACAAGATTGATTGGTGCACTTTTGAAAAATCTTTTCCATTCATACATTTTTTGTGTTCAAGTTTATGTTTGGTTTCTATAGTATTAGGCTTTTTCTTTTTTGTTTGAGGATTGTTTTTTGATCTTGAATATTAATTGCATGCCAAACCACACTAAATGATTGAAAAATATTACTGATCTCAAAAATTCTACGAAAATTTTTACCAAATGTCTCACATAAATATGAAATTTACATCATGTGAGTCTCACATTCATACGAGATATTTAATAAAATTTTTAATGAAACTTTTAAAATCTCTAACATTATCCTAAATGATTTGTACAGTATAATTGATTGAAGCCAGAAATTGGAAAGTTAGAGGAGCACGCACTTTGATGCCCCCAAATGGTCGTAAGTTGACGTAAAATATTGCTCTAAGGCGGATATTTTTCGGAAGATAATTTTTCTCCTCACTCGGTTCCTTGTCGATAAGTTCACCTGTCATGATAGAAAAATTATCATGAATTGGAAAGTTAGGGGAGCACGCACTCGCTTTTAAATTGTCCTCTTCAATGTGTATATATAATTTAAAAAATTACAAATCAGTGAAATAATTAAAATATGTACATATAGTGAATGCACACAGTAAATTTTATTTGTACATATAGAACCCGACGTGTTTACAAATATATTTGGAGTCACTGGTGTCCTTTGTAGGAATAAGGATTTATTATTGAAAAAATTGGTGAAAAATTTAATTTAAAGAGGGTATAATGTATTAGATCTAAGATAAAATCTTGTTTGCTGATAAAGACATGTCGGAAAAATTGTTGTAGCCAGAAAAAGTCACCTGAAAAGTCAGTGGCAGCCAACGGCAACTAATGGTGGGAGTAAGGTAAAGAAATGTGTGATATTTAACAGATAGGGTGTTGAATGAGTGACATATGTCATATTTCAATAGATAGGTAGTTTTTTGAATTTCAATACATAGACAAATGAGGTTATTTCAAAAGATAGGGTGATTTTAAAAAATAGACAGATAGGTTAATTTTAACAAATAATTATCATTTTGAACAAATTGTGTCATTTTAGCCCAAATAGATTGGAGCTCGGGCCTAATGGCCTAAAAAATTAAGAAATAGATTTATAGACTGAGTGTCCTTTATTATTGTGTTAATTACCTTTATCAAATGTGTACACCAAAATTTTATTTTCTTCCCTTTATTTTTAATTGTGATAATCAAAAATTAAGTTGCTCTGTTCATTCACTTTTAAAGAGGCTAATAGTGAAGGAGCCGGCCAAAATAAGATTTTGGCAAAAATATAAAGATTAAAATAAGATTTAAGAAAAGTATTAGAGTGTCAATGACGTGAGAAAAATATTATGTATGGCTCAGAGAATAAGTTTCGTTGTTAACATCAAAATTTAAAGATTTGACGGTCATAATTGAAAATAAAATGTTCAAAGTAAATTTTGACAAAAATACAAGAATTGTAACTGTAATTAATTTGTTATTATTATTTTTCATGCATTTAATGTAATTTGAAAATAAAAGAAGCTCACCATATCTCCTGTTTAGGTATTTAGTTAACCCAGCTTCTGAGACCCCAAGCACGACATCATTAATGGTCTGTGAAGCCAAAGCAAAACAAGCAATTTTTTACTTATCCGAAAAAAAGAAAAAAAGAAAAAAAAGCAATTTTAGCATTACAAGCAACAGGTTTATAAACATGTACATTCCTAAAAGTATAATCTAATTTCTTTTGGGGTTAATTACACTTTTCATTTTTACAAATTGACTTAAATTTTATTTTAACTTTCATAATTTTAATTTGAACAATTTGGACCTTATACTTTAACTCTAGTTTCAATTTGTTTCTTCCATCTAAAATAGAAGTTAAAATAAACAATTTTGAAACACTTGTCAATTTTTAAGGTTTCAATTTAGTTCTTCCGTCTAAATTGGAAATTAAAATTAAGAATTTAGTACACTTGTCAATTTTCTATAACGTAGGCATAGACAAAATTAACAAAAAATTTAGACAGAAGAACTAAATTAAAACTAGACTTAACTTTACGGACCAATTTGTTCAAATTGAAAGAATAGAGATTAAAATAAAATTTAAATCAAACTATAAAAAGTATAATTAATTCTTTCTTAAAAATAAATAAATAAATAATTAGTGGGTACATTATTCATAAAATAATTTTGTTAGGACTGGATTTCCCTCAAGTTCAAAATTTGAACTTGACCGTTATATTAGGATCCATGGGGCCTACCATGGGCTATATTTCGATTATCCGAGAAGTTCATTTTGTAGAATCTACTGTCTGTATCATTCATTGAAAAAATTAGGTCTATAAAATAATTGTACCATTTTCATTTTATCACATGTCTTCAAAAAAATGAACGACAAATATGCTTTCGGAAATAGATCATCCATTTTTATCGAAGACAAATGTAACAAAATGAAAATTATTTGATTACCAAATAGACCTAATTTTTTTCCATAAATAATATATACGAAAGATTTTACAAAATAAATAGTTCGAATAATCAAAATATAACTCACGGTAAACCTTACACACCTAAAATAAAGGTTAAGGTCGGTTTTTAACTTGAAAGAATCCATGTCATTTTTAGTTAATATGTATTCAAGTTGAAAAGATTCTATATGGTGCAATAAAAAATATATAATTTTTTAAAATATATGATATATTTTTAAAAATTATACTTATCATTTATTTTATTTTTTTTAAAAAAATTAACATGAAGAGATCATGAGATTAATTGATATAAACACATCAAACAATCATACTAGAAAATTTTTTGAAAAAAAAAAAAAAAACCCAAATCAAATGACAAATGCAGCAAAACTTACAACGTTCATGGCATTCTTGATCAACTTTACATCATCTAAGTTGACATTGCGTACAATGATACGCCGACCATTCTTCTCAACACGCTTTGAAGCTTTTATGGGTGTTTCTGTGTCCTTCAAAAACAACGAAGTCGCCACATACAACAAAACTCCAATGATTGTGTTCCAAACTAGCTGCAAAACCGACCAAAACCCAGAATTTTTAATCAATGATGAATTCTTCATTACTGGGATGCTCGGTAAGGCCTCAGGATCGGAAACTTTCCGAGAACAGGCAAGCAAGAGAGCCATGAGAGACGTGCCATCGCCAATGGAGTGGTGGACACGGTACACGATCACGCCTTCGGAGTCGGAGGTTTTGATGTCAAGGATGTGGAGGTCCCATAGAGGCTTTGTTTTGTCTACGTCACTTTTTGTTAAGTTGCATATGTAGTCCTCCACAAACTTGTCTGGTGAGTCCATGTTTTGGTCCAGCTTTGGGACTACAACATGATCATCCACATTCAATTCTGTTGCTTTCCATTTCAGCTTTCCACTTTCTTTGTCAAATACCTGCAAAATTAACATTTAGAGTTTTATTGGTGAAAATATCTATGAGAATCTCATTAGGTCTAAGGATTAATTTTTTTGGCTCACGAGGATATACGTGAAAAAGTCTCCAAAACAAGTTGTCACAAAATTAGTTAGAAAAGTTTCTGGCGACGACTAGTGGCGGTTAAGTGAATAATAGATGTCATTAGACAAATAATTGAAACAATAAGTGACTTGTGTACTCATAGATGACATTTAAATTAATAAATAGACAAATAAATGATGTGTATTAATAAGTGACATGTTGACCAATACGCAAATATTGACTTATAAACATATGGTAAAATTTTGACATATAAATGTCTTTTTCATTCCAAAAGATTAAAGTTAGGATATATTAGCCCAAAATTTTCAAAAATAAAAATGCTAGATATAATTATATTTTTTACCTTATTTTCTCACTCCAAACAGACAAGTGAATAGGTTTTATATACTTTTATAAATGTAAGCCACATTACTTTATACTTGAGAATGCAAAAATAATATAAGTAATAAGTTATGTATACTATTATTCTTTTGAAAATAAACTTCTTGCCTGAATGTCCTAACATTTGGAGTTGGTAGTGTGATTGTTAAAGAGGAAAATTCAGTTTAGTTTAAAATTAAAAAATATATATAATTATAGGTATGTGATAAATTTTACAATATTAATTATTAAAACTCTTGAAACAATAAAGGCCTGTTTGATAAAATTCATGTTTATAGTTTTTTAATTGTATTTATAATAACTTTGAAAATTGTGAATACAAATTTTTTTGTTGTTTGAATCTTTTTAGAAAAAAATTCTAACCACTTTATAAACTTTACTAAATTTTTGTAAACACAAATTTGATTTACTTATTTAAATATAAATAAATAAATAAATAATAAAAAACAAATTATTATTTCCTTCTTCTCCCATCACTCATCAGCACCCACGGCCACCACCACCATTGTTGGTCAGTGGTGGTCACCTCATCTTATGGTCTGCAATCATCTTTCGCTACATCCTTGACAATGACCTTGGGCCACTACCTCCTTCTGAAATTACCTTCAGCCATCACCTTTGGTGATTAGTATCCAGTGAAATTACCTTCAGCCATCACCTTTGGTGATTAGTATCCACTGTCAAGTATCATCTCCAATTATGGACAATTCCAACGATTATTTTTAACAATAATGTTTAGCGGTCCAAAATTTTATGATTTGAATCGTTTAAATATTTCAAAATAACGCTATTTTGTTACATTCAAATTATACAAATTTAAATTACCAAACATTTTCCTATCTCTAATCATTAACATCTATCTTCCACGGCCACTTCCAGCCAAAACCATCTCTGACAGTCACAATCACTTTTTGCCAACCACTTCTCTCACTTCTTTCAAATTAAGTTTTTAAAATACATGTTTGTCAAACATGTGTTTTATTTTTAATTTTATAAAAAACAATAAACATAAATATTTTTTATTTTGTTTATAAAAAAAATAGTGAACTCTAAATTTTAAATGCCATCAAACAACACCTAAATATAGCATCCCTTTTCTCATTAAAAAAAATAATAATAATATGCACTTTGTTACAAGTTTTACTTCATTTGTTGCTGTGGTAAAAAATTACATTTTTTTGTATGTATGGTATAAATTCATTTATATGTTTGGTACAACTCTTCTTGTTTGTCAGAATTGCATAAAAAAAAAAAAATTCTCATTTGTAGTGCAATTATATTGTTACTGTCCCATCTATTTACAATCCCTTAAAAAATATATACAAGTCTACTTTTTGGAACCACTTTATGGATCCAGTGATGTGTTAAAAGAAGATGATTGATTAATAATTATCAACCAATCATCTTCTTAACACATCACTAGATTTAAAATGTGGATCTAACTTTTGGGTCTAAATGGCAATACTTTCCCCTTTTGTATTCCCTTATAAAAGGAAGATAATCTTGTATTTCAGTACACACTCAAAAAGATGTGTACTATATGTAAATTATGACATTTGTGAATTTGATTATTATAAGTGTAATAACTCAATATTATGAGATTTATAACCAAAAACAAATTGAGTTATATGCTATATAAGCCATAATCAAGATAACAACAATGATTTATCCCACTAAATTTAGAGCACTAATTGACCACTAATGAGGTGGAAATTCAAAAAAGAAAAAAAAAAAAAAACTTAAGGCCAAAACATCACATCAATAAGTGGGGTCCACTCTCTAGAGCTCCATTAGAGCTCCCAAACATTTTTCTCAAGATAATGTAATAATTAATATCACAATAAATCATAACAAAAAAAATATCAAAAGTGATAATTAAAGATGCATACAGTGCCCAACCAAAACATAGAATTTCCTTCTTTGCAAAAAATATCAAAAGTGATAATTAAAGATGCATACAGTGCCCAACCAAAACATAGAATTTCCTTCTTTGCCTTTTGGGTAGTGGCATAATACGAAAAAATAGTAAAATAAACCTATGGCAAAATTGCATTTTAACACCATTATTATATTAATTTTAAATCTTATACTAATAGTCAGGTGCAATGTATGAGGAAGGCCCGTGCGATAGGAACCTTCATGCCCTGACTAAGATTTTCATGTACTATAAAGAATAACCTATGCAATAATTATAAGTACGTGTCTATTGATAAATTTCAAAACATAAAATATAGGGTAAATTATAAATATATTTTTTGAGATTTGATTAAAATACAATTTATCTTCAGTGGTTTTGGAAATACATCCCACCTCCTGAATTTTCTAATTTCATAATAAATAGTCATTTTTATTAATATATAATCAAGTTAATCAATAATTTTTAATAATGTCATAAATTTATTTCAATTAATAATTTAGATAAATTTATTATTGTATAGGATTGTAGTTAAGAATTTCATTTTTTTAGTTAATTCTGTTAAATAAAATTTTTTAACAATGACTATTTATAATTTTTTAAACCATAAAAAACAATTTATATTTTGAACAAATCTCAGGAGGTGTATTTGTAATTTATTCTAAAATATATGATTGTCTAACTAACTGGGTTTTAGGGTGCCAAAAACTCTACACCTCACTTAGAAAATTAAGAGCTCGTTCGGAATGAAGATTTGGTCCAAAATAGTCATATAAGATAAAATATGTTATTTTAGTTAAATAGGATAAAATATCTTATTTAACCTATAATTATTTTATTTTTTTCTCATAAAAATAAAAAAAAATCAAAAAAATATCCAAAATAAAACTTTTAATCCCAAATTAAAATAGCTAAAAAGCCCATAAATAAATAAAAAAACTAGCTCACATCTTAAACGAGCTTCAGACTTTAAGATAGAGTTTGATTATTAAAATGAAATTTGAAATAAAATAATTATTGGTACGTACTTCCAAGTTTGATTCAAAATATATATATACACATTTTAATTTGAAATATCATTTACAAATTTAAGATGATGAGTATTTCATGTCAATGAATAATCATTTCAATTACGTCTAAAATCATTCCAGTTAACCAAACTCTAAATCTCTATAAAAAATAAAAATAAAAATAATATTTCATCCTCTCCTTCAAAAACTAGGACTTATGGGTAAATTTTCCATAAAATAATTATTGGTACGTACTTCCAAGTTTGATTCAAAATATATATATACACCTTTTAATTTGAAATATCATTTACAAATTTAAGATGATGAGTATTTCATGTCAATGAATAATCATTTCAATTACGTCTAAAATCATTCCAGTTAACCAAACTCTAAATCTCTATAAAAAATAAAAATAAAAATAATATTTCATCCTCTCCAATACTCTATTCATCCAGCTATCATCCAGTAGATAATTCAAAAGTTTTAATTAGTGATCTCAACAGTTAATCATTGACACTAATTAAAATCTTTGGATCAATAGTTAGATGATAACTGAAGGAAGAAAGTATATATTGGAGAAAATTCCTCTTTGACTTATTTCATACCTGTAAACTGGAGAAGCGAGGGTGCTGGAGCAAACCATTAATTAATTTGGGTTTTGCTTCCTCTGGGTTGATTTTGGTTTTGGAGCCAAAGATACCTATGACATAGAGATTGGAACCAGGTTCATGAAACACATGAGCCAAGGGACTCAACGGTTGTCCGTCGTCGTTGTTGATGATCGAACGTTTTCCATTTCTGCTGGTTTGAATAGGTTTGAGAGGTTTGTGACCTTGAATTTCATCCATGGTGATTGGTTTTGAATGTTTGAAAGATATGCAACAAGTGAACCCAACTACTGTGGAGCTGGTTTCTATTGTTGCCAATTGTGTTGGTTTATATAAAGATTATTCATACACTGTGGCCTCAATTATTTCTTGGTAAATTTAAACGTTGCGTCATTGTGACATCAAGAGAAGTAGAAAAAATGGAAAAAGAAAAGTAAACGTAAAAATTTACATGATTGATTGGAAATATGTTTGCTACAAAATGGGATCATGTGATCATGTCTTGTTTTATCTCCTACCCTTATCGCTAGTCGGTGGCCCTGCAGGCACATTCTGTTTTTTCATATGGACATGCAAAATTATGGTCCCGGTTAGAAAAAATATATAAAAAATTGTATTGAAATACGTGAAAATATTTTAGAATAATAAAGAGTGTATTGAGATTCAAAATCTCATGGTATTTAATATTACCTGTTAATAACCCTTAAGGCTGTCCTTAGTAAGATTTTTTTTTTAAAAGATAAGAGAAGATAATTTTACTATACGAAATATTAAATGTATAATATTGTCACAAAAATGTGTAATATTACGACAAAATACGTAATTTCATTTATGAATCACAAATTATTATAATTCTATAGCAAAAATATGTAAAATTCATAACAAAAATGCATAACATGAATCACAAAAATACGTAGCAAGGATGCATATTGTTCTTCTTATATTGTTTAGATTTTTGTACTGATTTTTATTTAATCTTTTACTGAAAAAATATGTATAACATATACTATAAAAATACATGATAAGGGTGCATATGATTTTATGATTTTCTTTAGATTTTTTTTAATGAGTTTTTTTCAATTTTTTTTATGTATAAAATACCCTAAATATCATTGTGAAGAAATCAAGAAATAATTGTTTGTTTAAATCCATTTAATGTTATGTTTTTTTGGCCCTGTCCATTGGTAATTTGAACAATAAAAAACATTATTTATATTTTTACGCGAGTTGGGTTCCAACAATTGGGGCATGATTATTTGAAAGGGTAGGAGCATAGACCTAAATATCGGCCGGTACGTATCGTACTGGTCGATTCCTACCGGAAAATTAGAGCGTCGATTCGGATATGGATTGGTATACCGGTGAGAATGAAATTTGCAGTCGTAGCGTCCGAGTCTCGGTATGTAGCAATCTAAATTTGATACATAGGGCGACACAATCAAATATAGTTTCATAGTCGCCGGTACGAATGAATCAGCACAGAGAACCTGCAAAAGCAAAACTAATTGCGGAAAAGAAAAGAATAAAACGTCACATACATCACTTAGACATTTCACTTCAAGTGCTTTGTCTTCTTCAAGCAATTTCACACTTTCACGGACCATAAATTTGCCTTTGTTTACAGATTTGTAGTTCACAATCAAACTTCTTTGTGGTTTCGCTCCATGGATCAAGGCTTCTTTGGGTTGTGGAGTTCACTTTGACCTTCAAGCTTCTTCAAAGAAGGTTTCTCTCCCTGAGTTGCAAGTTGTAATTTGTGCTATGTTGTTGTGCTCTATTTTGTTGTTGTGCTCTGTTTTTGGTGAGTTATGTGTTTTGCTATGCTCTATTTTTTGTTTCGTATTTCTTTTTTCTTTTTTTTTTTGGGTTGTGGAGTTCACTTTGACCTTCAAGCTTCTTCAAAGAAGGTTTCTCTCCCTGAGTTGCAAGTTGTAATTTGTGCTATGTTGTTGTGCTCTATTTTGTTGTTGTGCTCTGTTTTTGGTGAGTTATGTGTTTTGCTATGCTCTATTTTTTGTTTCATATTTCTTTTTTCTTTTTTCTTTTTTTTGTCTTGCTTTAGTGTAAATGTTTAGGATTTTTTGTCCATTTATTTGTTTATACACCTCCATCTTTGTTTATACGAATATATATATATTTCTATGTTGAGCAAGGGAAAAAAGACAAGAACAATAAATATTCAAATCAAGATCTTCATCTGTCAAAAGCTTGGATCCACAGAACCTGCAAAAGCAAAAGTAATTACCGAAAAGAAAAGAATAAAACATCACACACATCACTCAGACCTTTCACTTCAAGTGCTTTGTCTTCTTCAAAAATTTCACACTTTCACGGATCGTAAATTTGCTTTTGTTTATAGATTTGCAGTTCACAATCAAATTTCTTTGTGGCTTGGCTCCATAGATCCAAGCTTCTTTGGGTTGTGGAATTCAATTCGACCTTCAAGCTACTTCAAAGAAGGTTTGTCTCCCTGAGTTGGAAGTTGTAATTTGTGTTGTGTTGTTGTGCTTTGTTTTGTTGCTGTGCTCTGTTTTTGGTAAGGAGTTGTGGGTTTTGCTATGCTCTGTTTTCTGTTTCGTATTTCAATTTTTTTTGGTCTTGTTTTAGTGTAAATGTTTAGGATTTTTTTTCTATTTATTTGTTTTTACACCTAGACCTTTGTTTATATGAATATATATATATATATATATATATATATTACAGTCCAATATAGATTTTCCATCACAGGTACAGATGAAATTGAAGTAGAGAACCTCTTGCAAAAGAAAAAGTTATCGTCAGTACAAATGAAATTGGAGCAAAGAACTTACGAAAGCAAAAGTAATTGCAGAAAAGAAAAGAATAAATCAACACACACATCACTCAGACCTTTCACTTCAAGTGCTTTGTCTTCTTCAAAAATTTCACACTTTCACGGATCGTAAATTTGCTTTTGTTTATAGATTTGTAGTTCACAATCAAATTTCTTTGTGGCTTGGCTCCATAGATCCAAGCTTCTTTGGTTGTGGAATTCAATTCGACCTTCAAGCTTCTTCAAAGAAGGTTTGTCTCCCTGAGTTGGAAGTTGTAATTTGTGTTGTGTTGTTGTGCTTTGTTTTGTTGTTGTGCTCTGTTTTTGGAATGGAGTTGTGGGTTTTGCTATGCTCTGTTTTCTGTTTCGTATTCCAATTTTTTTTGGTCTTGTTTTAGTGTAAATGTTTAGGATTTTTTTTTTCTATTTATTTGTTTTTACACCTAGACCTTTGTTTATATGAATATATATATATAAATACATATATTTCTCTATTGAGCAAGGGGAAAAAAAAATAAGAAAAATAAATATTCAAATCAAGATCTTCACCTGTAAAAAGCTTGGATTCACAAACAGGGTTAGGGGAAAAAGTCAAAAAAAACGCATAAAATTGAGTTTTAGAGAGATTTCCAATGATTTTTAAAATTTCACGGCCAAAACACCTGATTCCCAATATGTACCGACCGATACTACAGATACCGATACTCTGCAATCGATACTGTTACGTTACCCGATACCGCGATTTAGAATTATGGGTAGGAGCATAGGTGTCTGGAAGGGTAGGTGAAGGAGCGTTGGGGTATTACGGGTATTTGGAAGAATTAATGTTTGTGTCTTTTTTATTAAAAATTGTTGCGTGGCAATTTTCTTAATTATTAAAGCCACGTGATAATGGAAGATAAAATATCAAAGATTTGATAGGATCCATTACCAAAATCAAGAAGATGATTGCTGAAATTGATTTATTAGATTGACCAAGCCATTGGATTAATTAATTAATTAATTTAAATTTGCTTGGATTTGATAGATAGGGCTTAACTATTACTAAAGTTGAGGAAGTGATTGACGCTTATCTCCTATTTTTTAGGCTTATCTCCTATTTTGGTGCCTTCTCTAGTTGATAGGTGATGATGCTAATAAGATTTGAAGATCTACCACATTAGCTACAAGTCTACAAAAGTGGAGCCGGTTTTTCCTAAGATCAAGGCAAAGGGCTTTTTATGGACACATGGCAGCTTGTGGAGATATAAAGAATTAGCACAGACTACAATCAAGGAGTTAGTTTTCCAAGCAAGGCAAGATTGGTTTGTAGATTTCCTTGAGGATAAATAAACGTAATCTAGAAAACAGGATTTTATGCAACAACTAAGGAATATGTTCCTCAAATCAAGTAGAATAAATTCAAATTCAAGTTTAGAGGGACACGTGGTGGTCTGTTAAAGTTCAATGGACCAAGTCAAGATGCTAAAGATGTTGAAGGTCAAACCATTCCTATTCTTGGGGAATGAAGATTAGTATCAAGGACACATGTCACCAGGATAGACTGCTACGTTTCTGGTAGTTAAGAAGAATTTGGGACTTACCCAACACAATGTAAAAGGCTTAAAGTGCAACATTTGAAGAGGTCCCCAACCAAACAATTGACCAAGAGTCTCTTAATACAAGTCCTTTAATTCATTTTAGCTTTATAGCTTATTTATCTTAACTTCATAACTTGATTATCTTAGTTTAGCTTTATAGCTTCTTTATCATAGTTTCACAGCTTAGTTCCTTTAGTTTCATAACTTAGTCATTTTAGATTATCAATTGTACTTCATTCTCAATCAATGCAAGTCACAATTTTAGTTTAATTATCTTTGGTACCTGTAAATTTGTTAAAAATTCCTTTTATTGGGGCAAGATCTAAACTAATGGCAGTTTCTCTTAGTCACACACAGTCATTTCTCTGTGTTAGAAATGAGAAATGTTCAACTATTTTTACACCTTGAACTAGATTCACAAGTTTTGGCACGCCCCTATTTAATCAACAATTGTTTTTTTTTTTTTTTTTTTTTTTTTTTTTTTTTTTTTTTGTGTGTGTGTGTGTGTGTGTGTGTTTACACTTGCAGGACTTCTTGAGTGGCAACAGGAATTTCTGAGGAGCGCAAACAAATTTTGGCACGCCCAATGGGACATTAGGTATTGTCTTTATCAAACATTCATTATGGTTGGTAAAACGAGAAGAAAAGGTGTCACGGGTCAATCAGGAGTGGTGTCGCCTCATAATAGTCCAGGATTAGGCGGTTCCAAGCAGTTAGCAACGTAACACGCTTTTGAAGGATTCCAAGATATGACAAAAAATCTGAGGCATTGGTTTATCACGGCTAATAAGGAGTCTTCTATAGAACTCTCTTACTCTTTGGCCATTCCACTACATGAGATGAGGCAATCCCAGACAGATATTATGTTGGCAATTGCCAATATGATAATGACTTTGGGAGACATGCTTTCTGCAGTTCTTCTACCAGCTCTAGTTCTATTCACGGAAGGATTTTTCAATGTCGTTGCAGAGCAGAATCCTTAAAGTAAATCCGTTGTCGCAAAACCGTTACCTCTAGGAGTTTTTCATGCCTCTTTTTCTAGTAACCCATTCTTGGGAGGCATGGAGGACAAGGCATTAAACGAGGAGGGAAAGACATTGAGACTGGGGGGGTAATTTCCTGGGTTTTAGCAGTTTGAGATCAGGGACAACTAGACTTCTTAGAACTCCCAAAACCCATAGAATCTACAACATTAGGGACCTCAAAACCAAAGCTTCTTCAACCAGAACCTTCAGAACTAGAGTCTGTAGAACGTCCAAGGAGTTGGTTCTAGGCCTATGCAGAGCAGTCAAACCTCAGTTCCAACGAGGATGGTCAGAAGTTAACCCTTTTTTTGCTGCTCGAGAATAGAGAGAATTGAATTTGTAACACCCCCAAAATATTTAATATAAAAACATCAATTAAAACATAGTTAAACACCAAAAGGACATTTTCCTCATTGAACTAAGGTTTTTATTTACAGTTCTGTGCTCAACATATTAAATACACTTCCCCATGACAAAGTTCAACAAGTTAGAGGGGTGCAAGATAGAATGCCTTAATGGCGTACAAGAGTTCAGGGCATTGCCTTGTTACAACAAAAATGGACTCATGGTCCTAAACAAATAAGCTCAGAGCTTCCATATTAAAACATCCGTGAGCATCAACACTCTAATCAAAACAAAAGAGTATACTTCATCTCACTGAGGTGGTGGCGCATCATCAATTCCTGAAAATTTTAGATGGGGATGAGCTATATGTTTAGTAGAGATACATTTAATAGAGTATCTAATTATTTGAACATCTACATGGCATCATCACAACTCAAACATAATTTAAAGTTTATGTTCAAAAATAAAATGGGTAAGAAAACAAATACATTTTGGTTCCACTGAAAACCTTTCTCAAAACAAGGGTGGTAAATATGCCATGAATCCCTCGTATGAGCCCCAAACTACATTTATAGGTTTACAACCAAAACTATTTCCCACATTTGCCGGCTATTAATACAGCAGGTGGTGGGCACCCAAAATCATCTATTTTTCCACTTTTGCTAATTATTATACGGCAGGACCAGTCGATAACCAAAAACATTTTTCCATATTCGTTAGGCGATAAGCTCAAGACAGGGCAATTGGGTACCTTAACTCCCCTTGCAAGTACCAACACATCGCATTGTTCTCAAAAACCGACTCCCTACTCGAACTCATACTTTGTTTACCTCCTCCTTATTACCACATTCCAAGTAATCAAGTATTCAATAAAACATGAGATGAATAGTAAAAATAGATTGCATGGGTTATCAATTTCCATGTCCACAATCTCAACTCAATGTACATTAATAATGTATTCCAAACTCTAAGAGCATCTCCAACGGTAGTAGGCATTTTACCTATCTAAATATTACTATAAAGTATATATTTTATTTTGCCTATCAACTGTTTTATGTTTTTACTCCAACCATGCTCTTTATTTTACCTATTTATCCAAATACTATTAATTTTATAGAATGCCACGTCAACAACAAAGATGGAGGGAATTAATCCTAATGATTGAATACATTTTGCCTAGCGTTGAAGGCTAGCTACATGTAGCTAGTGAATATGAGTTGAGCCAAAATGCCTAATCATATGCCTAGTGCATTGGAATTGAAAAAAGTGAATCACACTAGGCATTTTAACTAACAAGTATCATATGCCTAGTGCATTGGAGATGCTTTATCCATATAATTTCAAGATTTGAAAGTCAATTCCATCCAAGCATCATTGCTCACCAAAATCAAAACTAGGGTTTTAATAAATTTGGGGCTTTCACCCTCTCTTTATATATATGGTAGTTCTCAGCACCAATACTCAACATCCATAATAATTCATTTGAAATTTTAATAAATGTTGGGTAAAATCCCCTTTGTGTTAAACATAAAACTTAACTTTTGTTCAATCATCAAACAAAGTATCATGGTTACGACAATACCACATAATCATCCTCAAACTAAAGAGATATTAAGTTAAAAGTAACCCTACCTCAAGGAAAAAGCAAGAAAACTAGACTTTTAAGAAGAATCCTTCATAGAATCAAAATCTAATTAGTAGAGAGTAAGATCCTTACATAGACTCCACTCCTTGCAAGTGATTTAGGCTTAAAACTTAGTGAAATGAGAGATATGTAGAGAGAGAATTCTAGGGTTTTCAAAATTGGTGAGAGAGGAAGGAAGAGAGAAAAAGAAAGTGAAAGAAATGATGTAAGAAGTGATTTTTGAGCTGCTAAATTTGCGCAGACCACTTGAGTGGTGAACGAGACCTCTCATTATTTATGTCTAGGAAACAAGATACTGGGAACCTCTCATCTTCGCTCAAGTGACCACTTGTCCACTCAAGCAGTCCTTCAACCTACAAAACAAACTATCGGGAGCACCTCATCTCTGCTCGAGTTGTCTTTCCACTGCTCAAGTTGTCACCTAAAAAAAAATGTCACAATCTCCCCCCCCCTTAAAGGATTTCACCCCCGAAATAACCTCAATCCTCAACACAACATCCATAATATGATAACAACGTAAGAATCATCAGTTTTTAACAATCTCCAAATAGATAACAAACCATTTCTAGTAGCAAAGGAAGGGGAAAAAAATGAGAAAATATGGTTTGCACTCGACTTACCACATATTAATGGAAAATCAATATGAGTGGATACATCACATATTTTGGAATAAATCTAGGTATTTCTCACTGGACCTCGGCTTCCCACTCCCAAGTCGCTTCATCAACAACGTGATGACGCCACAACACCTTGACTAATGGAATGATCATACCCCTTAATACTTGCTCCCGAGTATCTAGAACTTGAATCGGTCTTTCCTCATAAGACGCATCCTCATCAACTTCAATATCCGTCCAATTTAAGACGTAGGAAGGATCAGGCTCATACTTACAGAGCGTTGACACATGGAATAAATTGTGCAATCTTGAGAGTTATGGTGGTAAGACAAGACGATATACAATTTCTCCTATCTTCTCTATGATGTCAAAAGGGCCAATCAATTGGGGAGATAATTTTTTTCTTGTACCAAACCTCATCAACCCCTCCTAGGCAAGATCCTTAGAAATACATGGTCTCTTACTTCAAAGGACAATGGTTTTCATCTCTGATCAGCATAGCTTTTCTGATGGCTTTGAGCCGTGACTAATCTATTCTGAATAAGAGCTACTTTCTTGGTGGTCTTGCAAACTAACTCCAGCCCAAGCATAGGTGAATCCCCTACCTCGGCACAACAAGCCAATGATATACAAGCACGTCCATAAGGAGCTTCAAAAGGTGCCATCTAAATGATAGCCTAGTAAATATTGTTGTAAGAAAACTCAACTAATGGAAAGTGTTTCTCCCAAGACCCCTTCAAGTCTAACACGCATGCTCTTAACATGTCTTTTATAATTTGTATGGTGTGCTCGGATTGTCGATTAGTCTGAGGGTGGTAGGTGGTACTAAATTTCAGTTAGGTACCCAAGGCACTCTGAAGACTTGGCCACAACCTGGCAGTGAAACGAGGATCTCCATCAAACACTATGCTCGTCGGAACTCCATGGAGTCAAATAATTTCACGGACGTAAAGTTCAACTAAAAACTCAATAGAATTTCCCACACTCATGGCAAGAAAATGGGTTGACTTGTTTAGTCGATCTACAATCACCCATATTTCATCATTACCCCTTTGCGTTCTTGGAAGACCCGTAACAAAGTCCATGTTGACTTGTTCCCACTTCCACTCAGCAATTGGGAGAGGCTGTAATAATCCCACGGGTTTTTGATGTTCGGCCTTGACTTATTGATAGGTTAGGCACTTAGCCACAAACGATGCTTCATCTTTCTTTATACCCCTTTACCAAAACTGACGACTAAAGTCATGATACATTTTGGTGCCTACTGGATGCACCGCAAGGCAAGAGTGGTGGAATTCCCGAAGAACTTCATCCCTAATAGGTTCAGGCACAAACAACTGGTCAAAATAACTAACACTCGTACTGGCATAAACATTCAGACCCTTCTCTCCCTTTTTCTTAGAGATTCTCTCCCGAATTGTCTCAAATTCTGGGTCATCCTGTTATAGTTCCACTACCCGTGTAACAAGTGCAGTTATGCGACAACAGTGAACAGAGAAACCTGTTTCGAGAACTCATGAAGTTATAAGTCAAATTCACTAATATCCACTACAAGAAAAAGCAGATTTCGCGACTAAAAATGGATTTTTTGTTGCTGAAAGTAGCACATTTGCCGATTATACGTGTTTTACCGACAAAAATCAATTTCGTAGTCAAAAGTGAAGTTTTTTGGCTACTAAAAAAAATTTAGTTGCTAAAAGTCAAGAATTGCCAACTAAAATGCAGTTTAGTCGCCCAAAGTAGAGGTTTTGGCGACTAAATTTTAGTTTAGTCGCCAAAGGTGGAGGTTTTTCGGTGGGAATGAATTTTTTTAGCGACTAAAATATAATTAGTAGCTAAAACTATACAATTGGCGACAAAAAAATAGATTTAGTCGCCAAAAGTGATCTAATTTTTTTTTAGTAAATAATTTATTTTTTACATAAATTATATTGAATAAAAATAATTATTTATATATATATATATA